CCTCCTGAACACAAATCTCTTTATAAACTTCCACCTGAGTTTTCGTGATGTTCCTCAGTGACACCATGAGATTATATTAGACAGTAAGCCGTACTTTGAAACTGGATGTATAGTCCCCTATTACATTTATATTTATTCACAATTTGTTAGAGTCTTTGCAGTTGAAACAGTGTCGTTAAATGACATGTAAATCACGCATTTGGCTGTAAGCTAACACGTGTGGGAACGAGCTTCATTTTTCGGAAAACAAGCAGGAAAAGCGTGGAAAATGGAGGTGGGAAAGTTTTCGCTTATTGGTTCACTGAATCCATATTTTCCACTTTGGTAGACGCGTGGGTAGTTACGAGATGGCTCGCGGGAGACAGAAAGGGCGGGGGTTAGGAAGGAGGATGGAAGATAAAGACGGGGTGGAGTCTTACAACACATCATCATTTATATAGAGGAGATATCGGCACACAGCGCATGCGTACATTAATCTTCATCATACCTTGGTGCGTTGAGGTATTGTTACGTCAGACGTGCTAAAGAATCGAACCTCGCGCTGCTGGTGGGTTCATCGGAGCGTGGACATATTCGCGATTGACGCCCGTCTGCGTCAACGGTTTGTGTGAGGACATGCACGGCGCCGTAGGAAATTCATACGCAACTTCGGTTCCAACCTGAATTGAAACACCAAAAAGAGAAACAAGGCACATGAATTCTCTAATTCCCTCTAGAGAAGTGCTGGGATAGTACCTTAAATCAGGCCAGGACCGTTTCCTTCCACATCCTTTTCAATTCATTATTCAATAATCATCCTTTCATTCCACTCAAAATAATATGAGATACAGGCAACGTTATTTAAGTAGATCACAGATAGAAATTTGATAAAATATGAAATATTTGAGGAGGTTTTCAAGATGAACTCCACTTCACGGAGTTCATCTCGTGAAACTCTCTCATATGGAAAGTTACCACAAGGAAATGTAATCTGACCAAGTCGGCTCAAGATACTTTTGAATTGTTTTCGTGATTATCCGATCAGAATATCTGCCGCACACTAACCTAATAATTGCGTCGTTATTTCTTTCAATCCTCCAGGAACATGCGCGATTTTACATTTAAATAGGTCATTACAGTGCCCTTCAAATTCCTTTAAGCCTACAAAAGAAAATTGATAAAATCTGTCATTAAAATAAAATTTACCTAAAACCAAGATCAAAACTTCTGGAATATCAAATATACCTGATTTAGTGGGCATTCTCCAACATAAAATTCGTATTATGGGCCTAAAATTTTTTTTAAACATTTAGGTGACCACTTTCAATAAATTAGTTTCATTACATTCTGTGCGTTTTATTGTATTTTGATTCTTTGATTCCAAAAATTGTTCAAGTCCTATCAAACTTTAGTTGTGTAAGTAGCACACATTTATATAATGTCTGTGAATTCCTTCTTTTATTATAAATATACAACTTTATACTTCGTCAACGATAAACAAATAAAATAGTATGCCTACTTCTTAGCCTCGCCAGTGCTTTTATGCATGTAAACACTAATCAAAGTATTTGTAATTTAATTGTCTGTTTATTTGTTCGGCTCAGACTGTAAGGTTCAAGCATTGAGAAATCTAAAGATAAAGTTCCATGTTTATGTTCAGCGTTATCTCCTACGCGGTGTATCTAATACACAAATCGAGATGTGTAAAAGCATCAAAGACATTTCGGTAATCTGTTGTAGTTGTTACACACGCAACTTTTCTAGCAGACGGTGACTGAATCCGGCTTATCACATCTCGTCACCTCCGCCAGATAGCTCTCCTCCTGCCCCCCGGGAGCGGGCATAAATCAATCATTTCGCCGAAAACCCAGACCCCTAGAAAATGACACATCATCAGATAACATATGTCTGTCCATAAGATATTGCAAAATAAACTCCATCTAAATTTTATATCTGAATCAACTTATCTAGAACGAACTTCAATATAGTCGCAGCTACTCTCCACGTTTTGATACCTGGTTACCAACCGCAACCCGAGGTTCGATCCCCGACGGGGGTAGAGGATTTTTCCTCTACTCTCTGCGTCCAGACCGGCTCTGGGGTCCACCCAGCCTCCTCTACAATGGGTACTGGGGTCCTTTCCCGGGGGTAAAGCCGGCCTGGGCGTGATGCTGACCACTCACCCCCATCTAGTGCCGAGGTCAAGGAAGAGAGGAGCTATACCTCCTCTCCCCCCAAGCGCCTACATGGCGTATAGTGGGACAAACTTTACTTTATATTACTTTTACTTTTCCGATATGAGGCCTGAGTAAAATATTATGAACCTTTCAATCTGTACTTAAACTTCTGGTTTTTGTCTACGTTCACACTTTCCTTTCTTAACCGCGTATTAATCAGTCATCCTACTCTAACATTACACAACTTTATAGCAAGTTTTCGAACGTCGTCTACTTCTGTTCGTGCTTTAAAACATAAACTATCAAACTTCTATTCAAAAATGCTTGAAATCAGACTTCACAGATTCAAATGAGAAAATAATGACGGCTGTGAGTTATCAGAAGACAAGTGAAAGTAAGAACCAGGACAGCTGAGTCAACACGTACTAGGAAATTGGAGGCACAGATTAATGACCGACCCCAAGGGTCACAGAGCTCCCTTCCAGCGACATATTGGTGCTCTGTTTCTCGGAGAAAAACCGGCCACAGCGTGGAGCTGGCCACACTTGCTTCAGTTGAGTGCCGAGTTGAAGAATGCGTGGAGCTGGAGCTCCACTCCACACAGCGTCATTAAGCATCGAGATAAATGTCAGGAGATGAATTCGTGTAGTCATTGCAGTGATAAGAGAAGGCGCTCCCTGGAGAAGAAGCAACGCTGCTGCCCTCTTCCGGCGTGCAGAGACAGCTGTCGAGTCATCAACCATCAACAGCGCTGAAGCCGTCCTGGCGCGGTTTGCCTGACGTCACATATATGACAGCAGTCAGTGACTGATGGCTGCTTAAGAAAAGTTGTGTCACATAAAGACGACGTTGAAGGAGAGAAATGAAAAGAAGCAGGACGAATGAAGACGATAGATAAAAAGGAAAATGAAAGAGATAGGAGAATTCGACGACCAAAGAGAAGAAATCTTCCTTGATCGCGCAAAAGCTTCACATTTATAACTAACCTCATCCATCTTCTTCCACAAGGGGGAACTCAAATGCAGCTCAATTTGTCAGAAAATCTAATGCGCGAGGTTCCTCCATCTCTCGGGCTGGAGTGTGTGTATGGTGGATGGATTCAGGTTTCCAATAAACCCGACCCAGTCTTGGCCTGACAGCCTGCTTTTGAGGAGATTGAGGCTCATAGGGTGGCGCCACTGATCGGGTTTTTATTTTTTTCTCAACGAGTCTTTTCTATGGAGTATATGGTACAGTCTGTTCAAGAGAAAATTTCCTGCTTGTACTCAGTCGGATGTATCAAGTCTTCCCGCAAAAATTGGCGAAATTTTACTCATTTCACATTGCGGCTTCTTTAGATTCAAGAGATAATATGAATTGAAAATCAACAAGGCCTAAATACGGTACAAATAAAACCAGAGTTTTGTTAAAATCTGGTTTGAGCTTTCAACACTTATTTCAATGTTTAAGAACAAGGTCCTCGGGACCCTAGAGAAGTGACGAAAATGGAAAGCGTGGAAAAGCCCTTAACCTAATGATTGATGTCTTATATGGATGACACAGTATTATTAGTGTACTGAAAGAAAGAAATCAGGATCTATATTCCACAACATTTTTAAAGACACAGACATTTTACCGTAACTTATGGACAGAATGTAAACAAACGGACAGACAGACATAACTAAAGAAGAATTACGAATCAGGTGGTTTAAGAAATAAAGAAAGACCTTGCGCTTTCTCTCTTTTCCACATAGATCTTCCGAGCCCTTCAGGATTTTCAAACAAAATTTTGTGCGTATTTCTACGTGCCCCTTGATTTAAGCATCCTCACTGTTCAATTGTCTTTCAACTTCCCATTACTTCAGTCCGTGTGGGTCCAATTATTCTCCTAACTACCGTGATTTAAATTCACCGTTAATTTTTGTGTTTAAATTAAAATGAGAAACCGAATATCACGTCCATAAAATATAGCGTATAAAATTAGGGTCTTATATTTTAATCTTTACATTCTTAGACAACAGAGGGCAAGGCAAAATATTCTGAACCGCATGATGGCAAACATTTGACGAGTTGAAACACTCTGACTTTGTCCTCGAATCGGCCTGATTGAACTTTGCCACATTTCAAGCAGCGACGTTTTCTGCATTCTAGTGACGAGATATTAAAATACAATTTTCTCCGTGTTTACTAGTGACTTATGATTACGATCAGAATTTGGGCTTGGAATTGAACAAAACTGGGCTGAGGCAAAGCTCTGAAGCAGCAATTTCTAAAATGGGATGAGAGAGAAGGTCAGGACATCTCACTTTGAATTTCGGGCGATGGACACCTTCAACGTACAGCCCTGACACATATGTTGCAGATTTATGTATAATTTTACTGTATTTAATTTTATAAATTTCGAAAGTGGTGCTCCAGGAGCACTAAATCGGAATACTAACCACTAAAAACCGAATTTCGTTTCTCACGTCTGAAGAAGTTCTTCAGATCCAAATTCCCTCACAAGTTCCATGTCGATTTCTGGTCAGGTATAATTTATTTCGCACGGGGAAAGCGTGGTGGCAGATTGAATGTCTGAGTAACACCAGGTAACACAGTCTGCGTTGTTCGGTAATATAAACAACACTCAATTTCTTAGCATATCAGCCCCGAGGCCGTCTGCGTATCGTAACTGATGTATTTTGTGTTTTCTTTTCAGGATCTCTACACAAATGTAATTGGAGTAATTTAAAGCAGACCATCGACTGGTTTGTTCTTTACTCTTTTGAACTCACTATACGTTACATTAGATGTCACATAACCTAGGCATTTTGAGATGTTACAAATCAAGACTCAGCCAGTGCTCATCCGTTCGTACTGAGAATAACGTTGGCCCTCAGACAGACTCAGCTTTTCTGCGGGGGGTGTATATAAAGCACGTCTAGCTATCGAATTTCTTTTATAGGAGAGTCGAGCAGAATTTTTACATTTAAAAGAATTTTTAAATATAAGTTGAAACATAAAAGTTTTTCCTTACAGTACTTTGTATTATTACGTAATTTTAATAAGAAACTTTAATTATTTCTCTTTTTTCTTATGTTTATTAAAAGATGAGCATGTACGACGCATGTGGCCCCCAAAAGAGAAAGGTTCCTGAATGAATAGAATGTAATAAGGGCTCATGTAACTATTTTTCCAAAACGGTGGTGTATTTTGTGAAATATCCTTCTTTAAGCGCATACCCAAGAACTTGTATGACAAAAGAAGCCTCACATATCTCGTTTATATCTGTCATTGTTTTACAAATTGTCTGAGACAGTTACATGTCATCGGCTTGCCACTTTCTTAAGTACAGCCGTACTCTGGTGACAGAGTCTTTAACTACTGATGTTAACTAGAAAGCTCAAAATATAATGCGCTCAGAAACATCTGAGCAACAAATGTATTATATTTTCACCAGCTCTGGATGTAGGCCTTTGTGTTTGGCGACCAATAACTTAAAAATAGTAAGTAATGTGTTTATCTATAACATTAAAGGCAAAGAC